CCAGTGTAGATGTGGTGGGTGGAGGCTGAGGGCAGGCAGCAGATGGGTAGGAGGGGTACCAGCTCCAGCAGCTCCCTTCCACACACTCCCAGACTGCCTGCCTGGGTTGGGGGTGCCCAAAGTGCATTTTCATTGTTTGATTAAATTACTGTCTTGCCCTGCTCGCTCCCTTCCCATCTGGCCTCCCCTGGGGCTTTGCTCATGCTCACCCTCTCACTGGAACCTTCTATCTCCCCAAGGTCCCACTCCCCACCCCCATCCTGGCTGGTAAATAAGCCTCTGCTTGCCTGCCTGCCTGCCTGCCTGGGTGGCTCCAACTGGCTCCTGTCATGTCTCCTTTCTGCACCTCCAGACTCCTCTGAGAAGTGACCTGCACGTCCTGGCCCCACTGCCACTGCATCCCACCTGCTCACACACAGCCGCCTGCCTTTGGCCCCGCCACCTCCTGTGTCCAAAGGCAGGGATCACTGCCCCTCTCTAGCTGACCACACCTCCCCTGGCTTTCCTCCAGCGTCTCTTGAGTCTCTCCTGCCTTTCTTCCTCCTGTCCAGGTCCACAGTTCCATCTGTGTCTTGGTTGTGGCCAGTAAAATGCCCTCATGGGCACTGGCTCTCAGGGGCCACCAGCAAGGTCCATTATTGCATCCAAGAGGGGGTCCTGGGCAGAGGTGGAGTCTGGTTGAAGCTGTGTTTGGGGGTAAGGGCTCGGTGTGGGGGAGGGTCTTTGCAGTCAGGGGCAGCCTCTGGATGAGAGGGGACCATATAGAAAAGGAAGAAGACTTAGGGGATTGTGGAGCTACCCACTAGACCGGAGGGCTCCCCTGCAGGGCCCGGCCCAGACTTCCTCAGACAGCTCTGCAGTCCTGACACTGGCTACCCTGAAATGCCTGTAGCCCGTGGAGCCCTGGGGCTGTTCATGCAGTTGCCTTTGCCCTGCGTCCTGGCCTGTGGGTCTCCAGGGGTCTAGTTCATTCCCCAGGACCCAGCCAGCCTCGAGTCCTCTGTTTCTGGAGCCCTTGCAGAGTCAGATGCAGTTCTGAGCGGCAGGGAGGACCTGGCCTGGGGGACCTCTAAGAATGCATTCCCCAGCTGTGAGCTTCTGAGCCTCTGGCCGCTTATCTTCCCCTGTTGATAGATGGATGTTGCGGGTAGGTCCCTGCCAGCCCCACAGAAGCCCTCGGAGGCTTGCCTGACCTTCAGTGCAGCTATAAACAGCACGGCCTGTCAGCACTGCTAAGAGCTGCCCAAGAAATAACACTACGTGCTCCAGCAGCCCCAAAATTCCAGGAATTGCAGGCACAGCTACCCCAGAATAGTCTCAGCCCATCCCCCTTCCTCTCCCCAGAGACCCTCTGTCCTCAGCATGTCCCCATCACAGCTGGGAGAGTCTGATAAATACCGGAACCGAAACCAGCAGAGGAGGAGGAAAGGCCTCTGGGCTGATGCTCCAGGTCAGCCTGCAGGCAGGGCGGCCGAGGCCCTAGGGACGGAGGGCTTCCACAGAGAGACGGGCCCCTCCTAGGCCCAGGCTCAGCCTCCCACTTGACCAGCCTCACAACCAGCCCTGGTAGACAACATGTGGAAAGTTTTCACAAGTGCCTGTTAGAAAGTGCTCTCACAGGTGTGGAAGGCACCATTTTATTTTAATTAATTAATTAATTTAGTTTTGAGATGGAGTCTCACTCTGTCACCCAGACTGCAGTGCAGTGGCTCGATCTCAGCTCACCGCAACCTCTGCCTACTGGGTTCAAGCAATTCTCCTACCTCAGCCTCCCCAGTAGCTGGGATTACCGGTGCACACCACCACACCTGGCTAATTTTTGTATTTTTAGTGGAGACAGGGGTTTCACCATGTTGGTCAGGCTGATCTCGAATTCCTGACCTCAAGTGATCTGCCGCCCTTGGCCCCCCAAAGTGCTAGGATTATAAGTATGAGCCCAGTGCCCAGGCCGCTATCCGCATTTTAAAAGTGAGAAAAACTGAGGCTGAGCGGGTAAATGAGGCGACACAGCTGAAAGCAGCAGAGCCGAACAGCGCATGCTCCTCTCCCCAAAGCCTGGGCATAGAAGGCACAAAGGCGAGACCCTAGACCATGGCTCCAGCCTCTGGCCAGCTGCCAGGGCAGTCGGGGCTGGGCCTTTGGAGCTGCTCCCTCTCTAGGCTGTTCCCCTTCCCCACTTCCTGGAGAACTGGCTGGGGTGGGGTGAGAGGGCAGCTCATGTTGCAGGCGCAGCCACACCTGTCCAGGATAAATAAAGGCATTTCCCCACCACCCTTCGCTCCCATGCTACCTCTTGAACCCCCTTCTCTGTGGGTCTGCAAGCGGAGACCCTCTGAAGGGAGGCCTTGAGGGGATGCCGCTGCTCCAAGGTTGCTGCCGTGGGTCCCTGGGAGCCACCACCCAGCCTGCAGGTGGCCTGTGTCCTTTCAGGAGGAGCTGCAGCACACACCTGCAGCTGAGAGGGGACAGGCCCTCCCAAGTGCCTCTCTGGTATTCCCAGTCAGAGGGCTGAGCGGGCCGGCATGGGAGTTAGGAGTGACCAGGACACAGGAGATCCACCCATGGCCATCCCTGTCCTGTGAGCAAAGTCAAGCCTCAGTTTGCCAGGCTCTGAAGCGAGGTGATGATCCCAGCCTCACCTGCCTGCCCACCACACAGGGTCACAGACTCCTGCCTCCGGAGCCCTATGACACAGGCTCAGGTCCTGGCTGGGGTGGGAGTGGGTTTCCTCCAGAGAGCTCTGGCCCTACCTCCCCCTTAGGGAGATGTCCCTCGTGCAGAAGGGCCTGGTGAGCCGGAAATCCTACGGCCCTGGTGGGATGGTAGTGCTGTTTCCACAAGGCCTGCCTGGCCAGTGGCACTGAACCAGGACACAAGACCAGGCTACCAGCAGCCCACCACCAGAATTTCTCAACAAGCTTCAAGCCCTGGGGAGGGCACCAGCACCCAGTCCAGCCTGCTCCATGGCTCAAGTGATTTGGAGTATGCCCCTGAAGGAAGCTGAGAGGCCATTATGCCCATCCCCCAGTGCCCTGCCTGAACCTCAGGTTCTATTATTAAAAGTTCCCCCAGTCACTGGATCCAGCACATCCCCACACACCCCCTCCCCGCAGTAACGACATTCCTCCTGCTATCTAGCTTAAGGCCTCTGGACTGCCATTTAAGCCCCTGGCTGGTTGGGGCCAGGTGGCACATAGACCCTGGGTGAGGTCATTGACTATCCTGAGTGCCACTGGGCCTGGTGGCCAATTTGCACCCAGAGGGATAGGGCAGAGAGCACCAGCAGGAGGCCTCGAGATGGTGGAGCTGGGGCACATGTGGGTGCAGGCCCAGGCAGGGGAGGCTACAGGACCTATGAGAGAGCTCCACCTTGTACAGGAACGAGGCCTGCAACCGTGGGGGTGGGAGCTGTGCGGCGTAGTGGGGAATCTGCTGGGGCTCACATGGCCACAGGCCACCACATCATGCAAAGTGTGCTAGGCTGTGGGTGTCCAGGACCCTGTGGTCTCCAGGGCAGTCGGTCTGGAGGGTGGAGTCTCTAGGTTAGCACAAGCCACATCTCCAGGTGAATGACGGAGGGCAGAGCCTGTTCCCTGTGCCAGAGCCAGGCCAGCACCCATCCTGGAAGCATGTGGTCTCTGTGGCTATTATGAGGCTCTCATGGCACCCCTGGGTGGGGCTTCTACTTCTGGGGTCCCCCCAAGTACCCATAGAACCCAAAGTTCCAAAACAGAGACTACTCCTCCAGTGGGGGTGTTGGCTCCTGACCCTCTGCCCAGGCTCCCTGGCACCTCTGCCAAGCACCTTCAGGCCTTGCCCGCTTAAGTGCCTCCCCTCCAACCCCTTCCTTTAGCCCCCAGGCCCCAGCCAAGTCCCTAAGGCCCCGGAGAAGAAACTGTCTTCTTGTTCTCCTGGTAGGCAATAGCCCAGATATCCCTGCCCACCCACTACCCTCCAGTGACAGCCTGGGGACCTCCTTGTCCTGCCTCGTGCCCAGGCCAGCACTGCCAGGGGCTCAGACACCAGGCAGGGTTGTCCTTGCCCTGTATGCCTCACGGTTCACCCTGAGACTTGGGGCCTTCAGCCCTGTCTTCAGTGTCTACCAGTGCCTTGCTGGGGAGTCTCTGTTTGACAAATACTGAGTGAGCGCCTGCTATGGTCCAGGTGTTGGTCTCCCATCAGTTCCTGCTCCTGAGTGCTTCCTCGGGAGCATGGCTAGCTTTCTGCCTTTCTGGTGTTGCTGTCTCCAGCCAGGCAGTAGAGTTACTCAGACAACCCCCAATGTTCTGTGTCATCCGCATCAGGCCGTGCTGCTCCCCGTCACAGACATCACAGGACATGGGGCCATCTCCGCAGGCCCCAGCGCATGTGGGGAACCAGACGTGAGACAGACAAAGCAGCCATGGTGAATGGGGAAGAGCTCAAGCAGGTGAGGGAAGAAGGCCCAGCCTCATGAGCCAGAGGGCTGGCGTCTCAAGCTTGGGATGGAGTGGGTGCTGGAGCCCGTACTCAGCCCAGCCCCACGCTCTGACAGCAGGGCAACCAAGGTCAACAGTCTGTCCGTCCGTCTATCCACCTACCCATCACCTGCCCTCTTAATGCTGGGAATCCTCCCTTCCCAAAGCAGCTGCCCACCTCTGGGGAAATGTTCCGGGCTTGGGGGCACCCAGAGCCCACCCTAACAGGGAAGGGATTAGGAAGGCACTGTATTCTCTGCCCAGCTACCTGCCTGCCTGCCTGAAAACTCAGCATTTTCTTCTCTGCTGAAAACACCTACCACCCGTTCATGATTTCTCACACTCGTAACAGGCCAGCAGGCTCCGGTGAGCAAACAGCTGTGGCTGAGAGCAGAGGACCAGGCCAGTCCCAGAGGATGGGACATGCTCTGCTTTCTGAGAGCCTCAGAAAGGACAGACAGACAGACAGACAGATGGACACACATGCCTTCCTCCAAGTGTGCCCGGCCCCTCGGGTGCCAGGCTGTGGCAGGGTGCACTCACCCGGGAGATAGTGAGGGGCATGTTGAAGTCCTTGCCCCCCTGCAGACGGAAGCCCCAGGGCCCGGGCCCAGTCAGGGTCACACTGTAAGACATGCCGGTGCTGTCAGCAGTCACCTCTGTGAACAAAAGGTAGAGAGGATTGAGTGAGAGGGCACTCACACACTCCGCCTGCCCGGCCCGCACCTCTGTCCCTGCCCCTGCCCCCCTGGCCTTGCCTGCTCTGTCCCTTGCTGCCCGGCAGGGCTGTGTGGAGCTCCTGAGAGGCTCCTAAGAATAGCTGGGAGCGAATGCCATCGACACTGATATCTGCCCTCGGCTGCGCCCATAAATGGACTGTAACCCTACACTGTGCCCGCCCGCCTGTGGCCTCCCAGCCGGTCCACCGTGACTCACACGGCTAATATAGCCCCTGGGGAGGGATGTCCGGCACCCAGCACCCCTCAGGGGGCACGAAGGGGGACTGGCCAGGTTGGTGAGAATGCCCTGGTCTCCTTGCTCCTGTGTCCTCTGGAGAGCGCAGACACTTGCTCTTCCTGCTCCGTGGTACCCATCCTCTTGCTCAGAAGATAGGGGGAACCTGAGCTCCCTTGGGCAGGGACTTTGCTGCCCTGTGGTCCTCACCCAGAATTCTAAGTTTGTGCTTTATCCAATGTGGCGCCCTGGAGGTGCCTGAGCTGAGGCTGTAGCTGGTCTGGGACTGGCCCAGGGTTGTCCAGCCGTAAAAATGATCATAATAGCAGCAGCTCTAGGCATGGCCAAGCTCAGCACGGGCCCTTTACTCCCTGGGATCCTGAGAGGCTGCCACATGGGCCTGCAGGAGACAAGCCTCAGGGAGGTTAAATGACTTCTCCAAGGTCACGCAAGGAGTGGACCCAGGCCACACTGGAGCCTGGGCCGATTCCTACAGGATGTATGCCAGATCATGGGCTCCCAGTGGCCATGGATGCCTCCCAAAGCCCTGGTCCTGGGCAGCTGGCCCTCTGCTTGCACCCCCTTGACACAGGGTCTGAAAGTAGGTCTGAGGCAGGCCCACCCCTTCCAGACCCCCTGGGGGCCCAGCCAGTTATTCCTGGCTCTCCTGTCTCATTTGTACTCTGGAAAACTTGACGGCAGCATGGAAAGCTCCAGCTGCCAGTGCCACACGCCAGGCCCTGTGCCCTTTGCACAGGAATGGCAGGGGCAGGGAGAAGGGAGGAGACGCCATTTGCTCAGCTGCTAGGACACAGGGCCAGGAGGGGTAGGGAAGAGAAGCATGTGTGGCATGTTCAGCCCGTACCCCAGAGACAATGTGTTCTGGGTGGGGGCCTTGGCGCCTTGGGACTTCTGGAGTGTGGTCTTTGGGCCAACCCCTTCCTCAAGAAAGACCTCAGGTCCCTATGTAGTCTGGAGATAGATCAAGGCCCACCCCAGCTCCCTGGTTGGGGAAACTGAGGCTCAGGGGAGGCAACTGGATTGGCTGCTTGCTGGCCCCCTTGGAGGGCTCTGGCTTGGACCCTCAGGAGTCAGTGCAGGCCTGGGTGTGAGTCATTTCTCAGCTTCCAGCCTTACACCTGGCGTCTGGCACATGCAAAGCGCAAGGTAGCATCGTCCATATTACTGGGCTGTTTGGTCACTTGCCCAAGGTCACAAAACTATCAAGTGGAAGAAGCCAGGGAAAGACCTGTGTCCCTTCCCCACTTAATCACCTCCTTCACCCTACATCACGCAGCCCAGCCTAAGAGGCCAGCAGTCCACGGCCAGCATCCCTCCCCCGTACCATTCCCTGCCCCTCCTGGCAAAGCCCCGTGCCATTCATCCCTAACTCCAGCCTTATGCCCTTTCCTAGGGGTGTCTGTCCATCCTGCCAGTCTGGGGAGGACCCAGCAACAGAGCATAACCAGTGTGGGAGAAGGAAGGCACCCACCCTGCACAGGGCTGGGGAGCTGGGGGAGGCTGTACCTGGAGCTGCAGGCTCTTTCTCTGGCCTCTGGCTCCTGCCTGATGAAGCTCGCCTCTGGGGAAAGGGAGCGGTGGCAGGAGAATGCTCTTAAAGGCAAAGGCCGGCCTCCCTCCATCTGCCTCCCCCGGGAGACCTGAAGCCAGTCAGAGAGCAGCTGGTACCCATGGGTTGGGCGGAGCTCAGTGGCTCACTGGGGAGTGAGTGGGGATGGGGGCCAGCCTGGCCTTTGTTCCTTCTCTTTGGTGCTCCCTGCAGTTTGAGGTGGGCCTGCAGAGTGAAAGTCCAAGAATGGGGACAGAGGGAGGGGAGGAAGTGAAGTTTCTGGAGGCATCAGAGGCCAGGCCCTGGTTCTCGCTCCCATAACAGCACCAACAGGTAGAGACCATATTTGTCTGAGGACACCTCTGCTGTTTATTTTCCTATACCTGTCAGATCCACACAGCCCTGGGAGGAGCTGAGACCACTACATGAAACGAATCACAGAGTGCGCACACGTGTGCTTGGTGTGCATTCAGATAGGTAGCTACGGGAGAGCGTGTCTGCAAATGCCCGTGTGCACAGGAATGTGGGCCACAGCGACAACGGTATGCTGGGGGAAGAAGCCAGAGGTAAGTAACTGTTCCAGTGTGCAAAGGGAGGTCTGTGCTTGGCTTCAGCTCTCGGCAGTGGGAGATGCGGGGCTGGACTTCCTATGCCAGTGACAGGCCCAGCCTGGGTACAGAAGCTCATAAATAGCTGTGTGTTCCCTGGAGCCATCACCATTGTCATCGGCTGGACAATTGCAGCACACAGCATTTGAGGAGAGGCAGACAACACGGGAAGCCGGAGGGCCTGGGCACATACCCTTCAGGCTGAGCCTGGGGTGCAGCTGCTGAATTGGAAAGTGGGTGTGGAGGACATTCTGGGGCAGGAGTTTTGAAGTGTGGAGAGGGGACATGGGGATGGGACTTCGAATTCCATGCAGCACGGGTGACAGGACCCCTTCCAGAGCCTGCAGGCTCACAGGGTAATCCTGGATCTGTGTGTATGCAGGAGATGTTGGGGGGCTGGACGTGTCCCAGAAGAAAGGGAGGGCCAGTGGGCGTCCTACATCCTGGGGTCCAGGCTGGGGAGCAGCCCCTTGGTCTGCAAACAAACAGCACACATCTGTTTAGTGGAGGAGCAGTTCACTGGAGGCAGTCTCTCAATGACCCTCCATACACTGGGTCACCGAGGGCTAGGGGAGGTTGCATGGAAGGGCCAGATTGTGTCCTGGGTCAGGGATGGGCCTTCCCAGAGTCCACATGCCGGAGGAGGAACCAGCAATGCCTAGTGTTGCCTGCAGAGCAGCTCCTGGGATGCTCCCCGGGCTCTTGACTCCCTGGGCCACAAATGAACTCATTCTCACCCCCACCGGCCAATCCTCTCCTCTCCTCTCCTCCACATGCGGAGACTGCAATCACCCCTCGCTCCTGCTGCCCTGCAGCACTGGTTTCCTCTGGTCTTCACCTTGCAAAGCTGACCAACCCCCTTCCGGGGCTACCTGTCCCCAGATCAGGTCTGGAGACACCTCAGGCCAGTCCCTTATGGGGCCTTCCCACTGCTCCTACCACTTCCTGCCCCCCTTCGCTCTCCTTTGTCCCCCACTGCCAATCTCCAGGGTACCTCTGGCCGGTATCTCCTGGAACAGAGAGACATCCTGCTCCAGGGTATGTTGAGCTCCCTCCCCTGTGCCCCTGTGCCCCTATGTTTACACAGTCACACAGGCTGTATCCTCATCCTGGACCACTCAGTGCTCCCCACACTCCCCGCCCCGGCTGACTGCAGATCCCTGCTTCATTTCTACCTTCCTGAGGAGCGTTGGGGACTTGCCCCTGCTTTCAGTACCCTGTGTGCTCACACCTCGATGACAGCACTTATCACATGTGTTTGGTGACTGCTGATGGCTGCCCAGCACCCCAGCCCAGCCCAGTATCCCTCCAAGACAGGCACTGTGTCTTTCATCAGTGCCTGGTCAGCCTGGGGGTCACTGCCAGGCCTTTGTCCTGGCCTTTGTGGCATGCACAGTGCCTGGACTCCAGGACAGGGGGCAGTGCCCTTTGGGGGAATGCTGGGGGAGGCTGAGGTACCCCAACTGCAGGGACAGCCCAGGGCTCTAGTTCTTGGACGCACAGGGCACAGCACTAGGGAAGGAAGAAAGGCAGGAATGTGCCTTTGGCCTTGGACCAGCTAGGGAAGCCTGAGGAGCCCAGGAGCCGAGCTGGGGGTGTTGTGTGGGTGTGACAGGAGGGGCAGACAGGGAGCTGTCAGCTGGGGCGAAGGGCTGCCTGGGAGCCTGTGCACATGGCATTTCCAGTGTTCCAGAATATGGCCTTCTCTAATCGCCATCGACATTCCATTCGATAGGCACTTGGGCCGACAGCTGGCCTTCTTTTAATAGCCACAAGTGTTCCGAGTGACATCCTGATCTCAGGACATTCATGGTGAACACATACACAGCTTGCAGCCCCTTCCTCCCCAGGTATGTCCAACCTTGCAGTCACACAGAGTTACACATCACCCACACTTGGTCACATGCATAGCTTACAGCAGACACATTGGAGCACGCTCAGTCATGGGTGTCAGAGTGACAGAGCATGCGCCGGACACATGGCCACACACATGCTCGAGCTATGCTCTGCCGGCTGCAGATCCCCTAACCTCGTGGACACACACATGTACACTCATCATGGCACAGCACAGCCAACAGCGCTGTGCAGAGTCAGAGTTACACGATCACACACAGACAAGTGCAGACCACATGCAGGCCCTGCTCAGAGCATCTTGGAGTCACAGAGACCCCCAGACGGACAAGGAAGAGCTGCGAGGTGCTGGGAGCAGGTGATTCCTGAAGGGTGTCGCCCCCGCCCACGAGAAGAAGGCCCCCTTTCCTGGCCACTCCCTGGGCTACTCGCCCCTAGTCCCCACCCCCTTATGGATTGGCAGGTACCGGATCCAATCACCTTCCCTGGAGTCTCTGCTTCCCGTCCCTGGGGCCTGTGCGGTGCCTTGGCTTCCAAGTCCTCCAGACCCTGACCGTAGAGGGGCCGCCCGTTCGCTTGATGGGCAGCTCCCCACACAGCTGCTGCCTCCATGTGTGTCCAGCCCTGGGAGAGGTGAGAGAGTGACTCTGAGGTGAGAGGACAGTCCACAGCTTTGGTCCTGCCCCTCCCCCACCAGGCCCTCCTCCATCCTCCCCACAGGTATTCATTGCGGGAGGCCCCTGACACCATTTGCACGGTTGCTGGTCACTAAATAAAACCCGTAAATTGTGCGTGCCTGTGACAGGGTGTGTGTTGGTGTGTGCGCGTGCGTGCAGGTGTGTTCCCCATCTGCACACCTGCACACTTTCCTAAGCACGTGGCTATTTATATTTGAATAGATGGGTGGTCTTCACGAGGGTCTAGGCCTCCATTAACAGATTAGATTTTTCTTTGTTGTTCACTACAGTGGTTTACAGGAGGGACCCCTGACAGCTCCTCTCAGTCCCTCAACTGAAACCCGCAGGGATGCTGGCAGCCCAAGGCGATCAGTGGCTGAACAGTCGGCGGCAGCTCTTGCTGAGGCCCACAGAGGGCGCTGTAGGTAGAATTAAGGAGGAGCCCAAGTGAGGGGGGCCAGGAGCTGGTGGCATACGGAGCTTTCCTGGGGGTATCTAGGGGCAGCAGAGCTGCAGGCGCCAAGGAGGGCTGACACTCATCCCTGGGCACACCTAGCCAGCGTTGATGTGAGACACCCGTTTTCCCTTTCAGAGGAGGACGTGCAGCCCCAGAGGGGTGAGTGAACTGCCCAGTCTCCCACAGCAAGCACGTGGTAAGCTGAGGCTCAAAGCCACGTCTCCCATCTCCAGGGCCCATGCCCATCCTGTGGGCTCTTCAAGGCTCCCAGGAGGAGGGGGCTTACTGCTGAGGAGCAAGGAGCTCCAAGCTAACTCCTGCCTTGTCTCTCTGGAGCCCTATCTAGGGCCAGATGCACTGATCTCTTCAAGCTGCGGCTCTAGGGAGAGTGTCAGTGTGAAAAAGGACATGGCCTGGAGTTGGAAGACCTGTGTTCAATCCTGGCCCCACTCCTGGGAACACCCAAACCATCCCCTGTCTGGCCCTAGTGCCCTTCCTATCAGGGAGGATGATGAACTCCATGGGGGTGTTGGGAGGGGCTCTTCCTGCCAGGGTGCCAGCATCCTGAGGGTCCCTGAGTCTCACAGGCACCTCTGCCAGAGCCCATGTCCCTCCCAGAGCCCTAGGGCTGCCTGAGGAAGGGATGGCCAGGCTCAAGCTGGTGAGGGTCCGGGGTCCTTACCACCTCACTCTCTGAGCCCAGGGACTCCTGGCGCCTTCTTCCGGAGATCCAGCTGAGGTTGGAGGTGTGGCTGATCAGCGTGGAGCGGTGGGTGGAGCGGTAGCTGGGGTAGGGGTTACTGTGACGGCGTGATACACCCAGCAGCACCCCCAGGCAGGGCAGGTGCTGGGCAATGGCCACCCTGCAGGGGCCGCACATCTGATTAGGGCCAGGGGATGGGCAGACAGATGCAGGGGAGGGGATGGATGCACAGGCTGGTACAGGCCTAATGTATGGTTACGAGAGCCTTTGGGAAGTGGAGAGGCTGAGACCCTGGGAACTATGGCAGGTGATGAGGACAGAAAGACAGACGCTGGGTGGGAGACTGACAGGCTCACAGGGCTGGGGGGAGGGACAGACAGACTCTGGGTGGTAGGCATGCAGGGAGTGCCTAGGGATGTCAGTTCCAGCCTTCAAGTGGCTGGCCTAAGCCACATCTCTGGTAATGGTGACGAGAGACACTCCTGAGCAGCCTCTGTGCTGGATGCGCTCAGGCCTGCCACTGGCCTTGGAAGGGCAGTGAGTGACTGACACCACCAGGCAAAAGGAAGCACGGAGGGAGAAGCGGACTTGCTGGGTTGCTGTCAGCACACACACTGGCCCAGAGCCACCCCAGTCCCCTGCCAGGCCCTGGGAGCAGAGCTGAGCACTCCCTGCTGTTGTCTTTTTAGGATGACACTATTCGGGGGTGCTTAACTTCACAGGACTGTCCTGGCTGCCCTACACCCCAGCTCTGAAGGTCCCATAGTTAGGATTGGACACTGCCCAGGGAGCCCGGACCTCCCTCCACACTGTGCCCCTGGGAAACGGGCAGGGGAGGGAGGCACACTAACTCCAGACCCCACTCAGTGTTACTGGCTGTTCCCAACTGCTGGTGGCGCCCATCCAACACACATACAAGAGACAGGAAAGGTGGTGGCCCCAGCCCCCATCTGCAGGCCAGGCCCTCAGAGGCCATGGTATGGGGTCCCAGGAAAGAGCCACACCTGTACTTGGGATGGGTGATGGCATAAATGATGGGGTTGTGGATTGCAGAGGCCTTGGCGATGACGGCTGGCACTGAGCTCATGTAGGGTGTCAGGACGTGTGCATACCTAGGACAGAGAAGGTGTGGTCCCCAAGCTAGCTGGCCCTCCTGACGTACCTTCTCTGGGCCAGGCCCTGCCAAAGCCCAAATCCTAATCCGGCCCAAACCAGCACAGCTAAGTCAGCCCCATAGGGAAGAATTGGCAGTGCCAGGATAATTATTGATTTTTTTGCCCTGTCACCTGGGCTGGAGTGCAGTGGTGTGATCTCAGCTCACTGCAACCTTCGCTTCCTGGGTTCAAGTGATCCTCCTGCCTCAGCCTCCCGAGTAGCTGGAACTATAGGCGCCCACCACCACACCTGGCTAATTTTTGTATTTTTGGTAGAGATGGGGTTTTATCATGTTGGCCAGGCTGGTCTCCAACACCTGACCTCAGGTGATCCACCTGCCTTGGCCTCCCAAAGTGTTGGGATTACAGGCATGAGCCACCACACCCAGCTTGTGCCAGGAGTGAACTCCATCTAAGTTCATCTGAGTGAACTCCATCCCCTGAGTGAGTGGGATGGAGCAGCAGATGGTTGAGAGTGTGGCCCTGGAAGGAAGATGTGCCAGGTTTGGGGTGAAAGGACCCAGGTCCACTGTCCCTTGGAGCCTGCGCTGCTGGCGATACCCCGCTTACCCCCATTGACTCTGATCCTTGGAGCCCAGCTCTTCCCACATTCCACCCCAACCGTGAGAAACCCCACAGTAGGGCCCTGCGGGGACCAGGCCATTCCTAGAAGGTGTCCTGTCTAGACAGTTCCAGTGTTTAATAGCCCTCACTTCTCAGAAGCATTTCTGAAGTTGAGCCTGCATCCATGCTGCTGCGGTTGTCACAATTCCCAGACTCTAGCCACAAAGGGCTAGAAGGGCAGCTCTCAGGGACCCATTCCTGGAGGTGGGCAGCACCTCTGGCTGTGTGACCACAGCCCAGGCAGAGAGGGAAGAGAGGGAGCTGTGTGTTCCAAAGGGACTGGCAGGCCGTCTGCCCAAAGCTGTGTGGGGCTCAGAGCTCCTCTGCATGTGCCCTGGTGCCTCCAGGAACTAGGTGGCCCCCCACCCACCTTGGGACTGGGAACCTTACCCAGGGAGAGAATAAGCTGTGAGGATGGCTGGCCGGGGTTGGCTGGGAGGGAGACGCTGCCCAGACTTCTTGTTCCTGCCCCCTCCTTCAGACTCTTCCTCAACCCTTTAGTCACTGCTCACCCAGCGAAGGCCACCAGGGCCACAGCGGAATAGGGAGCCCAGGAGAGCACAAAGAGGAGGATGACCAGCAGCATGATCTTGGCCATCTTGCACTCGCTCTGCAGCCGCTGCCGCTGCCACAGGGACTCGCCACTGCCCTTGCAGGCCCCGAAGGTCTGGAGAGCCCTAGGAAAGATGCATAGTCTGGGTCTGACCACAGCCGGGTGCCAGTGAGCACCAGAGGCACAGCTGCTATCAGGGAGCCTCCCTGGACTATCCTTGGGGGGGCACTCAGGAGAGTCATTCCTTCCAGTGCAGGCAGCCCTGACTTCCAGAAAGTTTTCCATGATGTGAGGCCTCATCTGCCCCCCACGATTCTGTGTGCCTTCTCGGCCCCCTCAGCCATGCCTAAAAGCCATCCCCAGAAGCCCTTGTCTCCTGAGGCTTCCGTAGACACCACTGCCCCATAAGCACATGCCCAGCCTGCCTTCACCCACTGGGCATGCTCTGGTGGGCTGGTGCAGGTATGAGTGGTGGGGCAGGGGCCGCCTGGCCAAGGGGCCAGCCCCTTTCCTGTAGTCCCCCTCCATCCTTGGCTCTTACCGTCCTGTCTCCCGGATGGCCCTGAAGATGAAGATGTAGCAGTAGATGATGATAAGCAGAGGGAGAAAGAACACGAAGCAGCAGAGAAGCATGGTGTAGGCGCGCACGGCCGGCGTGAAACTCATGTAGTCCCAGGAGCAGGATGTCAGCAGTCCCTCAGGCACGTAGGCGCCTGAGAGCCAGAACAGGCACTCAGCCTTTGGGGTGGCATTGACCTCGGCTCCTTATCTGACAGGAGCTTTGTATGTGGCATTCGGGTCCCCATACATGGCCCTGGCCCCTGACCTGGCCTTGTCCAGTGCAGTAAGGAAGCTGGAGGGAGTATGGATGTCCTGCAAAGCCCGCTGACTCCCATTCCTGCTAGATTTGAGCAGAAACCTTACTGTAACTGCAAGGCTGTGCTTGCCAGGGCTTCAGCCAAAGGCCTGGTCTTGCCCCAGGAAAGCTACTGCCTTGCTCTCCACTCCTCCACCTGCAGAGGCCTCATACTCCAGCCCCTGCCTGGTCTGACTCAGCATCAAAAGTACCTGTCACTTTGTCCCATGCAGAAAGTCTCTGTATGTGAGGAGCAGCTGCTCAGGAGATCCTCTGGCCCCTGATGGGGCAGTGTCAGTTTCCCTTGCTGAATGTCCATCTGACCTGAGGCTCAGGTGGTTCCTGGACACCCCTGCCCCCCACCAGCTGGCTGACCCAAGCCCATCTACCTCCCTTTGAATGTGCCCCTCCCAGCCTATCCGCCCCTCTTCCAGTTCCACCAGCTCACTTACTCCAGCCAAAGAAGGGTGGCAGACTCCAGGCCAGGGCATAGAGCCAAACGCCCAGCAGGACAAACGCTGCACGCCTCTTGGATGCCACACCAATGGTGGCCAGTGGGCGTGTGATCACCAGGTAGCGGTCAAGGGCGATGGCCGTCAGGGTGATCATGGAAGAGATGCCAAAGAGAGCCCCACAGAAGGCATAGAACTCACAGCCTGTGGGCACAGCCCTTGCGCTGAGTCCTGGGGAGGAGGGTCTGGGGCCGAAGTGCACTCTGCTCCGGCCCTCCCCTCGCAGGAAGAGCAGGCCTGAGTGCTCCGTCCCCT